TCCTGAATGACTCCGTGAACGTTGCGAGGACAGTGTGTCAGATCGCCATTCGACAAACTTTTGCTATTTTCTAATCCATTTCTTATAAACGGCCGATTTACATCTCGACAGACATTAGAAGCGGCGGAACTTTGTTTAGTCTTTCCTGTTGTCTCACTGCAAAGACACGGACTTGTTGACTTTCCTATGTTCACAGCCGCAGACAAATGCATACTCCAGTCTAGCTGTTTTACCATAGCGTACATTCATATTTTATTTTATAGTCTGTAACGACTTATGGCTTTTTTCCTCGGTGGTCTATCGATCTGAAAAATGGTTTATTATTTAGATGCTGTTTCTGCGATAGTTTGACTGTGTTAACAGTTCGAAGGTTTGTTATATTGTTAGTTGACCGAATTTGTGTATCGATGATGCGACCGGTTCAGTTTTTAGTAAGTTTTAAATAGCTAATATTCTTACAACGTTTGATAATGATGAATGTCTAAATATGCAAAAGTTTGAATCAGCAATGATTTGGAGTTGTACTGTTGCACAGAGACTGTTTGAAAGTCTAGTCTTTTTTGACGTAATTGTTTATATATGTGTTGATTCGTAACTTCGTTCCAATTGGTTATAGACCTTTTGACGAATGGTTTCTTTTGAAAAGGATGAAAACAGAAGTTGCGCTGTTGGGTTTTCGTAGCGATGTTCTTTACATTGAAGTTAAATAATGATCAAATAGTGTAATCGAATTTCACACATCCACCCACTGGGCAAGGTAAGTTTAGTCTAGTATTTAATACACCCCTCGTACTTGTCCATATTTTTCATGCTTAGGTAATCGTTGGAACACCTACAAAACTCTTTGTTCGCACTCGAGTGGTCGGGGTACTTTAAGACGGTTGTACCGCAGGAAGCAGGAGCAAAACGTGCGATGAATATACTGTCATACCATTTCTGATAGAACATTTGTTGTTTCGCCATCGTCATCTGAGTTTAATGGAGCTTTATCCGCAGGGTAACCGGGATTTTTGATATTTGACCTTTTGAAGTGGTACTTCAGATTGATATTTGACAGCTTTCGCTGTTGCAGCAACGACCGTATTCCATTCGAAAGCAGGGTCTCCAAGAGGCATTTTCCCGTTTTGCATTGTCCTTCACCGCGTCTGTGGCTCGTACTATGAGCATTTTTAGAATGATGACGTAATCATTGGGTACTCGGCACAAAGTATTAGTAGCTCAGGGTGATGGTGTGTGTAGTGGGCGGGAGGGGAGGAGGTTCAATGCACTTATGACTCCTTTCGCGCGAGGAGGTTACTTTTCCTGGTTACTTGACCAGTAGAGCTGCCATCCTTCGCTTCAAGACATTGATATCCGTGGCCTGGTAGGTGAGTCACTGAGAGTCCCAAAATTTTCAGCTTGTTCGCGCTACGACTTCAGTGATGTCATCCAGTTTGCCATCACCGTCAACTCAGAATGTTCCAGCAAGCAGCATGCGGATTCTCTTCGCGATTGGTGAATTTCTGCGGGTCAGGTTTCTTTTGTATAGGTGATTGAACTACCTTGTGGATATAAACCGATCATCGCACAGGGATAAAGTTGCTAACCGCCAAAAATAATGGGACGGAGAATGGTGTAGCTGAGGTCGCAATGATTGGTGAAACACTGTTTACTTATATTTGTGAATTTTTTACCTAGCGGACGTTTCGACCCCACTACTTCCGATCCATCATCAAGCAACAGTAAAACTAGCACGATGTCCTGTCATGTCGATCGAATTAAAGCATCATGATTGATGATACAGCACGTACCATTAGTCTTTAAAGGCCGTACAATGTTTTTACTTTACGCACTCCCTGTATTTGATCCCTGGCAGTAGTTGATAAAACCGGCTGCGTGAATAAACAGCGCTTTTTTGAATTTGTGGACAGGGTGTTGTATGTTGCTCCAGGATTAAATTCCACAAAGCCTAACGAGGCAGCTCACTGCGACGTAATCACAAGAATTTTATTCGCTTATCGAACTTATGATAACCGGAAATTCACGACGTTTTGCCTCACAGGTCAGTCTCAATAAGATGTTAAAATCATGCTAACATGGAGCGGCTTTAATGGGGTAGATTAAACTACGTGAAGTAATGAAACAGAGGTACCAGTCGCGAGGGCTGCGTATTCGAAACGGTTGCATTATTACTCTAACCTGCGAATAAACGAAGGCGGAAGAGGAAAGATCTTTCATCAGGCAGAAAAAAGCTAATACCAAAGAAAACGGTTTATAACGTGTACGCAGAGAAAGGAGGCAAACCAGATATATAGTCACAATTGCCAGGACTGAACATGAAAAAGTTAATCTGTTGTACAATATGCTATAATTAAGCAGCACAATAGCTATATTTTTCTCGAGTTCAGCAGTTTGAATCACCATTTGTCTCGTTCTTCCGCGTACATATGTTAGAACCTTTTTTTCTGGCAGCATTCTTTTGCTTGATGAAGGTTTTTTTGTTCCGTCTTCGTTTATTCGAATGTTGGACTATTAATATATCGGTTTCAAGTATGCCAAGTGCTCCACTGGTACTCTGTTTCTTCACTTCACGTAGCTCAGTTTTTCCAAGTCAGGCTGCTCTATGTTCCCATGATTTGAATACCTAGTTGAGACTGTCATGTAAGGCTAAGCGTGAGTTTCCGCTTACTGTAAGTAAGGTGAGGTAGTAAAAATCGTTAGGTTGCAGCGAGAGGTTGGTTGCCTCGTTACGCTAGGCTTTGTTCAGTTTCATTCAGTGGCAGCAGTGGAATACCATTTCTCGTTACCATAGCGCACTAACGAAATGTCGAAAGTTATCATCTCTGATATTTCATGTTTTCATGATATCCTCTGCACGGTTAGCACATTTTGTGCTAACGCTATAAAGGACGACGATGAAGTCTTAATCATCGTATCCGGTTTCGTGCAGCACGTGAACGATATTTGTGGATGTACTTGAAACCAGATATTCGATTGTGTAGTCTGGATTTGTTCAGTTGAGTGACTTCGTTCGAAAGCCAGGCATGAGCGTGCGTGCCACGACAGCGTACTGTGGCGTCTGCTTTACTCAGTCGCTGTGATAACCATGCAAGCCGATAGTGATTTTTCGAAGAGACAGTTAGCGGCACTGTGGTAACGGGGTACCGATAAACATGGACTGATCTTTTGCAGACAAAGGCACTGCTTAACCATGCAGCACAATGGAAGAATGGAGGGAGCGTTACCATACATGTTCATGCTTCAGAGAAGGCAGGGGCTGTCCAACGTGGCGTCTGCCTGTTTAATGGAATGTTTGATGTGAAATTATTTGGTCACAAAACTCAACTCTAACTCTTGCATGACACTGATTAGCGTACACTGGCCGTTAATTTCATACTGTAGGGGGAAGATTCACATAATCCTACATGGAAGCGATCGGTCGGCTTCGGGCTGCCTTGCGAAATCATTTTCCACATAGTTTGCTGTTGCTGTGAAACTCGTGAACTCGATCGACTTTCCAGGTCACCACAGCGATTAGCTGAAATTCGCTCAGTATCTGTGAGCCACCGGATTACTCACAGGAAAAAAGTTTCTCTTAATGTCGCAGCCATTCTTTGAATATTTATTTGCTGACGCATTACGTGCTCACGCGAGTTCCGCGAAACTTACATCAGCCTGTACGCCCGTTTAGTTTTCGGTGTAATAAATAGGGAATCAAATCTTAAATTCTTCTTGCTTCGATATAGCTAGGCGCAGACGATGCACACGTGTTTTAAATGAACTGTTGAATATTGCCACAAGTAACATTTTCCTTAATCTGTTGTTTTCCTTTTTGCGATTCGAATATTATCGATAGTGCAATCGCATACCTTGGATTGCTTTAAGACATTCGACAAAATGGCCTTCGTAAGGAACAAGAAATAATGACAGATTTGATTGAAATTCCGTGGCGTCTCTTTCGCCCTTTTCTCCGCTCTGTCGCTTCTCTGCGCTTGTTATTGTTGTGTTTTTGTATTTGTTCCAATCTTTCCCTGCAATGTCATTTATGTAATCAATAAGTGATTTGAACATTTACCCGGTAGGGTTGAGATACCTCCGGGCATTTCGGCTTGTCGGCTTCAAACTCTGCGCCAAATTTCTGACTACTGTTCGAAGATCGAAACTTGACTTTATCTTTCATCATCATTGATTCATGGTCGCTATCGCATTCCGCGCTTCTGTACGCCCTGACATCGTCTACGCCTGCTAGATGACCTTTGGTCATCAGGATATGATCAATATGGTTTCCTGTTGATGCGTCAGAGGAGTACCACGTGACCTCATGCATTAGTATGTGCGGAAACTATGTATCACCAGCAAGTAGATCGTGCATCTCACACAATTCTGTTTGTCGTTCAAGGTAATCATTCATTTCGTCCAGTCCCGTGTGATCCGAAACATCTATGCAGCTCATTCTTTGTTGCCACTTTCGCATCACCCAGAACAGCCAAGATGGTTCGATGCTGTTGCAGCAACAACGTGGCATAAAATTCCTCCTTTCCTAGCTCTGCCGCAGCTTCGACGAGGGCATTACAAGTTCTTTGAACTTTAACCTCACCATACTTAATCTGTCAGATACAACGTAAAGGTCACAGACGGGAAGTTTTATCCTCATTTAGTCTGATAGTGAACAGAATAGAAGCGCACTTAGAAGAATACTGCTAAATGGTTTTAGGCTCATTCGACATGGCCATGGCCGAAGAATCAGGGGCTTCCTCATTCCCCTTTACTCAGCTCTGAATACCGGTGTCGGCGTCTGGTAAAGTTTCAAAAGTGGTCAGGAGCTGGACTAAAAAGCACTTTAAGCCGTATCATTTGCATAATGCAAAAGCAAGCAATGCAGCACATAATTTGCAGGCACAGTGAACATGTCGTAGAAACTATTTTAAAGTGCAATTGCATAATATC